GCATGGACCAACCACGGGTTCAGTCCCTAGAACCAATGAGACAAACACCTATTAGTGAGTGAAGTAAGAACCAGGCAGCCAAAGCGACAACTTGGAGTAGTCTCCAGACCTTTTACTAAAACAAAGAAAAGTAGTTTGGTGCACTGGGCTCTAAGTTTACCCTGGCTAAAATCTATAGTCACCATTTCAAAAATCGAACACCAGACAGCCACCTCCTTTAAAAACTTGAAGCCATATTTGAAATGTGATGCCCAGTTTTACAGATTGCTAACGAAGGAAGTCTCTGACCTAGAGAGAGAAATACGATGCTCACTAGCAAACTCCCAAAAAGAACTGCTCTGGGGTTCAGGGAGACGACAAGAAACAAAAAGCCTGCATTCCAGCTGGACACAGCCAAAGCTGTGAATTAGCCTCAGGTATTAATTACCTGGAGCTCTAAAAATGTAACTCTAAATCCCCAGAGGTGGGAGGCACACAATTATCCCTGTGCACAGAGGAAAATGTTTATTGAGCTATCTGTCATATTGATTTTATAGTTATTTAGTGTATTGGCTTCCAATAGCAAGGAAAAATTAGACTGATGACATCAACTGAGCTGTCTTCCTCATCCCTCCCCAAACTCTCTACCGATGACTGAGAGCCGATGACTGTGAGCCAGTAAATAAGTTTACAGCGTTAGCAAAGGACAGTCTTGGAAATGGCTACTGTGTAAAACTAGCTTGTTGCTCCTTGGGAAGGATGACACAGAGAATATATCAAGAACATTGTGTTAAAATCAGTATTATTTTTCCCAGCTCTGAATTGATAGCAAAATCCTCTATCTGATAAAAGCCTCTTATCCAAAATACAAAGATACTTAGAACTCAACAACAAAAAAGAAAAACATTTTAAAGTTGCAAAAGTGAGTAGATATTTGTCCAAAAAAAAGATACAAAGTGGTCAAGAGACTCATGAAAGCATCTAGGATCCACTAAGTGCTAGCAAAACACAAAACACAACCACAGTGGCACACTACTTCATGCTTGTGAGGATGGCAACAAGTTTTTCATGGAAAAATAAGTGTTCATGAGGATGTTGGGAAACTAGACCCAAATATCAACGATGGGGCCATGAAAGGACATAGCCAGCCACTGTGGAAATTCCTCAGTGACTTAAATATAGAGTTCCCATGGGACCCAGCAATTATACTCTGAAGTACACACTCAGAAGAATGGAAAACAGTGTTCGAGACACTAACAATGTCACGGTAGCCCAAAGGTGGACCATCCCATCCTGCTGCTTGCAGACCTCCATTGCTGACCCTACTCAAAAGACATCACTTTTCTATCTTCCTCCTCTCCGTTTCCCTTCTTTTGGTATTATAATACAAACATTATATATATATATATATATATATATATATATATATATATATATATATATATATATATATATATAGTTCATATCATATATAAAAAATTTCAAAAGGTTAAGCTTCAATACTGGGAATGAAGGATAAAAGGCCTTGTAACTGATTATGAGACAGCCAAAACCAGACAAGAGTAAGCACAGGTCTCTGGGGAACCGCTCTGGATGGCTCCCATGAACTCCTCAACATCGATTAATAAATGAATGGATACACAAAATATGGTCTTATCTATAAAATGCCATGGAATGTTCTTTTCCATAATTTTTGAAAACCAGTTATGGAATATTAGCTAGCTATTAAAAGAAATCCTGTGCATTGTGTAATATGGGTGAGCCTGGTAAACATTATGCCAGGTAAAAAAAAATGACCAATCATAGGCAGGTAGGTGGTGGTGGCGCCCATCTTTAATCCTAGCCCTCCACAGAGGCAGTTGGAGCTCTGAGGTCGAGGCCAGCCTGGTCTACAGAGGGAGTTCCAGGACAGCCAGAGCTACATGGAGAAACCATCTCTAGGGAAACAAACAAAGATCAATCACGAAAGATTATGTATGATGTAATTCCAGCTCTAAGAAAGGGGCCAAACAAGCCAATCTACACATGTCGGAAGACCAGTGGTTGCTAGGGCTGGAGTAATGGGGTCCTATCACCACTGGGGTGCTAAATAAAGGCCAGACATTTTCTCCTTCTGATGAAAATACTCTTAAAGTGGTTGTGGTGATGACTATATCTAAGGAATACACTGAAAACTGTTAACAATATTAAAAACCTTTAAATGGATCAGTTCTACGGCTCGTGAAGTGCATCTCAGAAAATGTCAAAAACCGAAGTGGACCCCATGTGGAATCGTCCTGCTGAACACTTGCTGCCTTTTGCTGACTTTTGCAAATAAGAATTCCCAATGGCCAGTGTGTTAGCCATTCTACCCCTACCATAAACAAAAAGACGTATGTCATTGTTGGCTAGGGATCGGTTTCTATAACACGATAAATATGAGTAAGGCAAAGTTCATTTGTGGTCACTGCTTCAAAAAAAAATGAAAAGAACTGAACAACAACTAATAATTCTAAGGGCTGCAATTTATCAAATGAGATGCCTTTCCACTGCCCATCAGCTGACCCCATCAGCACAGCTGCAGGGCCAACTATTTCTTCTCCTTCAGCACCCCTCCGTTGGGCAACAGACACGGTTTCTCTCCTAGAATGAAAAAAAGCTTGACTATTTTATTTCTAGCCTCTCTCCAACAAAATCAACTCATGTCTTAAGCCTAGATGGATGTCAGGGAATGTGGAGAAAGAGCGTATCTAGAGGATCCATATTTATGCATGTTTTTAAACAATTCAGACTGAGACTAGCCTCCATTAAAAAGAGTTTACCAGTCAGAAGGCACCCTCCACCCCCAATCCACACTCTGTGTTTACAGAAGAGGCTGCCACAGTTGGATGTCTTCTTCTGTCTTTCTTCTAATACAGTGCTGCTGTGTCCCCAACCCACCCTCCGAGATGACTGGGAGGCTATAAACAAGAGTCTCATTTTTCCATGTCAACAATTTCTATTGATAACCTCATATTTTATGCATTCCTTCCCAGCTGACTGTGTGCGGCCTCCAGTATGGCATTTAAACCACGTGTGATACGTAGAAGAAAGACAGAATTGGGTTTTTAAGGCTTAGTGAAACTGTTTCTGTAACTGATCTGGACCTCTATTTTCACATTTCCCTTTAAATTTATTTAAAGTTAGAGAATCTCAAAATTCAGTAAAATCACATCTTTTTTTTTTCATTTTCTGACTCTAAATTCCCAGGCTCGTGAATATAATACATGTAGAAATTGGCAATTCTGAGAAAAAGCACTATGTCTCCATTTAAAATGCTATAAATTAGAAATGGGAAGGACAGTCTACCAACTGTAGATCAATCCAACAAATTTAGCTCTCATAAAGGCTAAATCACATCTCCAAGGCTTGATGATAAATCTTTAGTGTCTGCCAGTTGTACAAGATCAGTAGTGAACCATCTGGTCCATTTTGTTTATATCAATCTAAATAATGTGTGTCCAAGTTTTTGATATTTCCACAGCTCAGAAGTGATAAGGCGACTGCCAAGCAGGCTGCATCATAACCTGATTTCGGGGGGCGGGGGAAGGGGAGGGGCTGTTCGTTTTGTTTTCTATAGCAAATCAAAGTCTGAATGCAGAAAGAAGGTGAGGGTAGGGGACAAGCTGGGTGCAGTGGCCCACGCCTTTAGTCCCAGCACTCCAGAGGCAGAGGCAGGTAGATCTCTGCATTGAGGGCCAACCTGGTCTACATAGTGAGTTCTAGGACAGCCTGAGCTACAAAGTGAGACCCCAGAAAGAATTTTAGGTTGCTAAGGTCACACAATGGTAAAAGGCATTTGCTGCACCAGGCTACGGCTGTGAGTTCAGTCCTGGGATCCATATAAAGGCAGGACTGACTCAGTCTACAGAGTTGTCTTCTGATCTCTATGCATGCGCCGTGGCACCTGCACACACACACACACACACACACACACACACACACACACACACACACAATCTAGATAGAGAGACAGACAGATGGACAAATAGACAGAGTATGTGTATGTATGTATGTATGTATGTATGTATGTATGTATGAAATCACATATATAATCATATACATGTAATTATATATGTATATGTAATTGTTAAAAACATTTCCCACTGGATTGGAAAACCTATGGGCCCCCACCCTTAAGCATAGCGTTAGCCATGCTTTACCCCACTGCTTCATTTCCCTCTCCCAGCTTATTTCTTCTTTTTGAATGTTGCAGCAGGAAGTTCACCTTAGAAGAATACAGTCTGTCCTTCCCCAAACTGGCTGGAAGAAGGAACCCTTTGACCCCAGCTCCTCACTATACCCTGTCTCCGATCTCTTCCCTCCCCACACTCTGCTTCCTGGAGGACCCACTTTGCTCCTACTCCGTGTCTCTCATAGTCTCGAGAAGTGTAAAGCCAGGTAGGGCTGTGGCTGTTAGCTGCTCCCCCCACCCCCACCTCCCACTCCCGAAACAATGGGCCGTAAGCCGTAAAGCAAATTGCATTTATATGACTTGAAATTAAAAAAATGAAACCATGGTTATGACCTTGAAACATCTCTATAAATCAGTCCCCTTCCCACCTCCTCATTCTCTCAAATGCCTTCAACGGCTTCTGAAAGCAATGGTTGACTGCAGAACAATGGTTTTCAGGCCGCAGCCCTGGCACGATTACCTGAGATCTTGCTTAGGTGCAGCCTGCTCGGCCCAGGCTCAGGCTCATTCAGAAAGTCTGGAAGGAAATTCAGATTTCCTGAGAATTTGAATATGTAACAAATTCCCAAGTCATGCTGATGCTACAGATCCAAGGACCCACACTGAGAACCAGGAGCCTACACACAGAACTTCTAGGAAAAGCCCAGGGGGGAATCTACAGTTTCCCAGTCCATCTTTTTTTTTTTTAATCAGAGGCAGTATGGCCGCCATTAATGGGATCGTGGTTCAAATGCAAGATGTTCCCAAAGGCTCATACGTTTGAACATTTGGTCACCCGCTGATGATGCTCTTTGGGGAGGTTGTGGAACCCTTGGACACGGGGCCTAGCTGGCAGACCAAGCCACTAGCAGCAGGCCTTTGAGGAGGGACAGCCAGGCCTTGCTTCTGGTTCCTCCTCACGTGATAAGCCCTCACCATATATACTCGGCCGCGCCATCCCCAGAACAGACGAACACCATGAACTGAAATAAAGCCCTCCTCCCTCCAGCGGCTTGGGTCAAAGTCATCTGCCACAGTGAGAGGACACGTAACTAATATAAATAGAAAGGCAGAGTTTGGACAGACCCGTGGCTTCGATGATTTCCCTTCTCTGCTGGCCTCACAAGAAGCAGAGGAAAAGGATCAAGGAAAGGAAAGTGAAGTTGTGGATGTAAACCGGAAGATGGTTTAGCCAGTCAGCTGGCGAGATTCCCCTTCTCATCTTGGCTATATTTGCGCTGTCTTAAACTTCCCATGGTGCTTTTCACCGGGCGCTGGAATCCGACAACTTTGGAGGTAGGTCCCGCTTCCCTTTCTGTGTGCTCACCCGTGTTAAGCAGCTTTCTGTTCCTGTAGCAAGTACCTGAGATGAACCAAGCTCTTCTGGGATGAGTGGACACAGAGGCCTCCCAATCTTATATAACACGTCTTGCTTTATACCCTAGACCTTGCACTTAACTTGAAAGGAGCTTGGTGGGGGGGCGGTGCACTACGAGACTCTCGGGGAAAATTCCTGAGCTTCCACACTTCCCCATCCTGGTGGACACTGATTGTTCCTGACAGTGAAGATAAAGTTACCAGGAGCAGGAGCAGGTGTCTGAGAGCTGGGAAGGAAGGCCCAGGATTCCAAAATGCAGGATTACAAAGAATGAAGGTTACCTTGACCAATAAAAAGGGCCTATTAACCCAAAACCATGAAGCCAGATGCTAAGAATTGTGCTTCGGAAATCTGACCAGGGCAATATTTTCTTTAATCTTCCATTGCGGTTCTTGCAAAAATCACAGTGCCCCCAACACTTCTACTGAAATGAAACTTTTAACCTTTAAAAATCTGAATACTATTTTATCAGTTTACTCCACTCCCAAACGCCCTAAAGGCGTTTGTTGGTGTGGTTTTGAGGTTTTCTTGTTTTTCCTTCCAAACGGCCTGCTGTCTAGACCTGTTGCTTCCGTGAGTTAAAGACCTTAGAGGTAAATGTAGAAGTCTCCAGTTTGGCAGGTCGTTCTGTTTCCAGCATTTTGACCGAATCTCCACCTGAATCGATTCTGGGCCTGCAGATGACCACTCTTTGCGGTTCTTCTGCTCATATTTACCATCTCAGAGGCAACCTCCACACGACCTCTTCTGGCTACAGAAGTCAAAGAATTTGCATCCTCGCTTGGCCAAGGCACAAGAGCTAGCCATCATCCCTGGGACCTCAGTGAGTGCTGGCCAAGCCCTGGCACTCAGAAGCCCGGATGAGAAAGCAGCGAGGTCACACCTCACTGAAATCTCTGTTTTCTTGGGTTCCAACCTCTTCCTTAGCCACAAACCAAAAAAAAAAAAAAAAAAAAAAAGTTCGGACTTGAGACACAGGGCAGAAGTTCGACAGTTCACCGGAGGTGAGGCCGCTGACGGGCACCTACCGGACAGCCCCAATTCCTCCCACACCCCCTCCCTGCAGTCCGGGGGGTGAGCAGGTGCTGCCAAAGGACAAGTCAGCCCAGGGACAGAGTGGAGCCTCACCTGGGCCAACCCACAAAAGGGGGACCCACTGGATAGAATTTCCAGAAGAGACTGGAAAGTGGGACTAAACCAACCCACACAGACCAGAAAACCAGAGACCAGACTGGATTGGAAGTCATTAACCATAATCACTGAGTGGACTGTCCCCGCACCATCAGGCCAGAGAATACACGCACACTCACAAACATACACTGCCCCAATTAGAGTGGTGGTGGGGTGGGGAGACAGGTCCGTGGTGTCCCAGTCTCAGGGTACCTGCCTGGCACCCTGGACAGCTGCGGACAGCTTGGCGCACAGAAGGAAGCAGGCGCTCCCAGCTGCCGCTAGGAGAGATGCTCACTGGCATCGCACCTAGGGAGCCTCGGGGACCGTGGTGGCTGTGACAGCTTTAGATGTTCTCCGCTTATCACTCTTTCCCCGGGTGCCTAACTTTGTCGGATGCCGCCCTTGCTTACCCAGATACTGTCGCAGGTCGAGCAGGAAGCGAGGGGGTCCCCCGCTGAGCTGGTAGAAGAGGGAGCCTAGGCAGAAGACCAGCAGGGTGGCCATGCAGAAACCGTAGTCCCGGAGGGAGAAACGTAAGAAAGGCAGCAGCGGGATCCGGCGCTTGCAGCTGCCCAGGCACGGAGGGGCGCCCCCCACAGGGACCCCATGGGGCCAGGGATCCTCGCCGCCGCTGGGATGCTGCTGCTGTAGCTGCTTCTTCTTCATCGCCGGCTCCGCCGCCTCGCACAGCCCGCCCGGGCCAGGAAGAGGTCACCCATCCGCCGCCAGCCGGAGCGCCTGGCCGACCGGCTGCACATGGAGAGGGACGCGCCGAGGGCAGCCGGGTGGGGGCGGGGAGGGGCCAAAGTTGCCGGGCTCAGGGCACTCTCCTCATCTTGGTCCCTGCCGCCCTCTGCGGCCCCGAAGGGCCCCGAGATGTCCCGGGCCCCGGCGTGGGGGTGGCGATCGCAGCCCGCGTCCTGTCGCACGTCCCGCTAGCAGCAGCCTCGCGCCCCAGGTCCCTCTGTGCCCCGGGCTCGCTCACGGCTCGCCACGAAAGCCAGCGTGGACCCCCCCGGGCTTTGTGTGGGTCTCGGGCGGCGTGTTTGGTCCCGACTCAGGCTCGGCTAGCTCAAGGCAGGGAGGATCGGGAGGCGGACACCACCCTCTCGCTCCACCTCCTTGACAGGGGCTTCCCTCCTCTCCTCTCCTCCCCTTTCTCCTAGGCGCAAAGCCGCCCCGCTCTCTGCCCTCCCCGGCTCTCTCCTCTTTCCCCACCCCGGGGCTCCTCGCTCGGCTTGGTGTCACGTTACGGCTTCTGCCGGGGCGGGCAGGGAGGGAGGAGGGGGCCGAGGATCAGCAACAAGGAAGAAAGTTTCTGGGTGTGTGTGATTTTTTTTTTCTTCCTCCATTCTCTACAATCTGGTCTCGGTTCCTGCGCCACCAGCGACCTCTTGGGGCCCGCTGACTTCCCTCTCGTAAACAGTCGTGTGCTGGAGGATTTGACTACGTTTGTCTTCTCACTTTGGAAACTTGGTTCTCTTTCTATCTCCCAACTGAGCCGTCTACCAAAGGCTGATAAAGGGTACTGGGATATAGGTTCAAGACCTAGCTGAGATGGTAAAAGGGCAAGCGGTAAGAGTTCGAGTTAAACATGCCCGGCATGGCCAGGCACAGCGCCTGCACGCCTTGGCTGAGATCGGAGGGTGCTTTTCTCTTGCCCTCCCTGGTCCCACAAGCGCTCCACGGAGAACAAGGGTACGCAGGCAGCCGACTTCAGGAAGTCCTTCCAGCACATGTGAAAGGGGGAAGCTCTGTCCTCTCACATACCTGTTTCATTCCTGTCTCTCTCTCCCCACTGCTGGGAAGCTTCTAGAGCGGAAAGAGTCAACGGAGCTTCTCTGACATCGATCCTCTGATGGAGCTTCTGATAGTTGGCCGAACTGCTCTATCAGACACATGGGATCGGTTTAGCTTTGTTTTAATCGCCAGATACAGAGGTGATGTAGCCTGAGAGTTACATTACGTTTCCAGTGTCCTGGTTTGCTTTTCTGGTACTGTGATAAATATCATGCCCCCAAATAACATGGAGAGGAAAGGATTTGTTTGGCTTACCAATTACAGTCCGTTATGGAGGGAAGCTGAGGCAGGGGGAACCTAGAGGCAGGAACTGAAGCAGAAACCAAGGAGAAATGCTGCTTACCTGCTCACCTTCAGCTGCTTTTGTTGGGGCCACCTGCGTAGGGATGGTTCAGCCCGCAGTGGCCTGGCCCTCCTCCTCCATCAATAAGCAATCAAGACAATGCTCCCAGATGTCCCCACTGGCCAATCTGTTGGAGGTAATTCCTCAATAATAGTATCCTTTTCCAAGGTGTATCCAGTTGGCAACAAAACTGACGTTCAGTGGCATAAGTTGGTATGAATAAGCCAGATATGTTAACCCCTGCAAGGTGGCACAGGCCAGACAGGGCTTTCTTCATGGTTTGCCTGGGATTTGAAAATAGGTCTTTTGGCTTAGACCACATGTTTCTGATGCCACTCATCTCTGATCCTAAATATTCTCTCATTCTAAATATTCAGATTGTAATCAAGGGCTGGGGGGAGGGGAGGATCTAATAGCTCCAGGACTGTCCTCCTGAAAACCTTTAAAAGTTGTGTATCCAGAGAATGTTCCGTGGAAAGCTGAGGAATGGGAGGGACCCTGGGAACAAGAACTCACAATAAAAGAGCAGTATATATGCTAGTTAGTTTTAAATGTCAACACACCACAACTTAGAATCACTTGACAGAGTCTCAGTTAAAGGAATTGCCTAGACTGGATTAGTCTATGGGTGTATCTATGGGGAATCATCCATTATTATTTAATATGGGATGGCCCAGCACACTGTGAATGGCACCATTCCCTGGGCAGATGGTTCTGAACTGTATCAAAGAGCTGGCTGCGTATGAACTTTTGAGCCAGCCTGCAAACAGCATTCTCCGTGGTTCCTGCTGAGCTTCTTTGGCTGTGAAGCGAGGTCACTTATTAGTCAGGGGTAACACTGTACGGACTAGCAAACAGGCTTGTCTTTCAGTTTTGGAATTGCAAGTCAAATAAGTCCTTTCTCCCTAAAGTTGCTTGTGGTCATGCCATTTGTCACGGCAACAGGAATAAAAACTGAACAAAGTTGGCTTACCCATGGCCTCAATATGAACTTCACAATCTGGAGCATAGGTGAAGACAGCACAAACCACAGGCTAGAGCAATGGTTCTCAGCCTGTGGGTCGAGACCCCTTTGGATCAAATGACCCTTTCACAGGGGTTGCCTAAGACCATCAGAAAACAAAGATATTTATATTATGATTCATAAGAGTAGCAAAATTACAGTTATAACATAGCAATGAAAATAATTTTATGGTGGGGGGTCACCACAGCATGACAAACTGTATTAAAGGGTCGCAGCATTAGGAAGGTTGAGAACCACTGGGCTAGAGAGTTGTGAGGTGGGCAGAACCACACTCAGTTATACTCTCAAAGAGTCACTCCTGCACGTGAACAGATTGTCCCTATCTTACATTGTCCCAGCCACTTTCTAAGGTCTATTTAGGACACCAAGTAGAAAAGAGGCCCTTTGTTTGCCATAGGAACTCCCAACTAGAGTGTTAACGGTCTGCTTCACATTTACTCCCTGAATAGGAGGTTTATCGGGATTAATGTGCGCACTTTAGAAATGCGACTGCCCTTTAGAGAATTCAGCCCATCAGTCATTGCTCATTAGTGTGAATTCCTTTAATCAGTACAATGAGTAGCCCAGAATAGACTCCC